TGAGATAAACATTAATTAAATAGCATTATCAAGAATGGACGTTGACTAGATGCGGTAAGACTTGTGAGTGTTATGCTCATATTATAAGATAGCAATAGAAGATCTCACACCTATTGGCATGGTAATGCCAAAGCAAGCATTTAGGTGATTAACGTTAGAGAACATATCATTAGACATGACTCGCCATGAGAACCCATTTGGTTTAGTCTATGGGATCTCATATGAGATGGGTACAAATGGTCATTTGACTTGAAATCATCATAGTTATCTCATTAGATGATTTATGTACTTAACACTCATTTTGATGGATTCATTCAAGAGTTGTATATGACAATTCGTTGGGTGCACTAAGAATATAATGAAGATAGGTGAATGACTACGCTAGGACATGTCTTTCCTTATATGCTAAAGGAGTTATCACATTACACATCGATGAATGTCTACTCGAAATCTGTGACCATAGTGGGAGTATATCAATAGAGCATGGTTGGTTTACTCTAGAGCAAAAATATTTAGGAATTGAAAAAAACTCATGTGACATACTATAAACCAAATTCGAGATCACACTATAATAAATTGACATGAGAATGAAATTGTATGATATTCATGCTCATGAAAGGTAATTATTAATTAATTAATTTTATAAATCAAGTTCGAGATCACACTATGATAAATTGATATGAGGACGAAATTATATGATAACCATGCTTATAAAAGGTAATTCTAGATTAATTAATTCTCCTAGAGAGTTGGGTAGTCATGATGCATTGTTAGAGGTTAATCTTGATTTATGTATCAAGAGATAAAAGAGGTATTTTTTATTCTTGATACATTACCAACATATCCAGGAGTCTATTTAATCACACACGTAAGTTTAAGCATTTATATAATAAAAGAGAAGTAAAGCTTTTAGAAAAGGTTTTTAGTTTTGAAAATTTTTTATTTTGAAAAAGGTTTCCAAAAATTAAAAATTTTCTATTTTGGAAAAAGTTTCATATTTTGGAAAAAGTTTTCTAAAATAAAAATTTTTTCTATTTTAGAAATCAGTTTCCTAATTTCAAAGTCGGTTTCAAATTTGGAAGTTAGTTACCTAAAAACAAAATTCACTTCCTAATTTAGGTTTAAGGGTAATTTGAAAAATTATTTCTAATGTAGGCTTCATGAAAATACTTGACCCAATTTATTTGAATGGTCCAAATTAATTGATAATTAATTGGGTTAAAAGATTTTAAGCTAATAGGCCTAATTTAAAAGCTTGCAAGATATTTTGATAGGAGGATAAACTTGATTCATATTGGATAAGGCTTAGGGTTTACAAGGATAAGATCAAACAAGCTCACACATATTGGAACTCTTTGTCCTTGGAGGACAAGGATGTTGTCTCCTTAAAATCCATACAAAGACATGGCAAAAAGAAAAAAAATAAAGAAAAAACGTTTCTCTTCACATAAGCCTCGAGTTGCTCGTATCTTTCCTTAAAAACCCGAATTACCACAAAAACCTTAACTAATATCTTTAGAAAGCAAATTAACTATATAGAAGGATTGGAGCTACCATACTATAATTTTTGTGGCTTCTTTTATGAATGTTTAAACTACGTAGATTATCAATAGAGCCATATACTTAGACGGCTCCCTTTTCGCTTGATTGTTTTTCTACACTATAAGAGATAATCTTTAACCCATATTTATATTGATGCTAATGTATGATTAATTGATTCAATAACATGATCTTGAAAACCTTAAATGGAGAAAAAAATTTATTCTATTCTACTCTTTCATGGGATGCATGATCCTTCGGAGGATGTCAATGGGGTTGAACAATTTATTACATTTGTTGTAAATCATCCGGAATATATAGATATAATGAAAATAAAGTGTCCTTGTAGTCACGGTAAGTGTCCGAATAGAAATTTTAAGGAGGTTGGAATGGTTAAATACCATTTATAAAGTAAAGGTTTTGTGCTTATGATATTATTGGATATATCATGGAGAATTTGAGGCATACATGGCATCTTATAGTTCTAGGCATGATTTAATTACTAAAAATTATCATATAGATGAAGATAGTTCTAGTGAATCCCAAAATCCATATCAAACAATGGTGATGGATGAAGTCGATCCATCCTTTAACTCGTCCGACACGAATGAGGAGGTGCTAAATCTTGAGGCTCGGGCCTTTTATGATATGTTGGATGCATCTCGTAGGGAGATTTGGACTTGTTATGATAATTACTCATAATTATCAACTATTGCTCAATTGCTATCTAAAATCGAGTATCATTTTTCTAAAAAATGTTATGACTAGTTATATGACTCGATGAAAGAGTTGATGCTTGTTCATAATTGTGAGATAGGTAACTTTTATGAAACAAAGAAACTGGTTAAAAAGATGGAGCTAGGCTTTGAAATTCTCCTCCCCAATCGACTCGGAATGCCTTAATTGATTGATTAATTTTTTTTTTTAACAATATGACGAAATTTGATAAAGCAGCTTTATAACTTCAGAATTATATTTAATAAAATAGACCCAAGAGTATTTATTGAAATGATCATAGAATAAAAGATAATAATAATTTCCATTGAGAGATGGAACGGAAGACGAGCCCCATAAATCGAGCAAACTAAATCTAATGAACCGGACACGTGAAAAGAAAACTCGGGAATGATAACTTGTGAATTTTCTTAACACCACAAACATGACAAAGAGATGTGGAATCTCGAATAGACACATTGATTTAAGACTAACTAAGTACTTGATGCACTATTTTGGACGACACATGACCAAGACGAGCATGCCAAGGAGCCCAAAATGCTTATTGGGTGTCACCCAAAGATCGAGTTGTTGACGACGAATAGAGTCCATCTTTAAGCTTCTCGTGGTGCAAAATCTACTTTATGCGGATATCCTTTACCAAAAAATATGTAGGAAAGAATTCAAGAGAAACATAGTTAGATTTCATAAATGCACTAACCGACGAGTAAATTATTGGAAGCTTGTGGAACAAGAAGAATATTATCAAGTGAAAATTGTTTATTCTTGATGGAAAAAATAAAGGAGCCAATGCAAGTAATGAGAAGAGTTATACCATTGCTAATCATTACTTCTTCTAGACCGTGGTAATCGAATGGATGCCTAGGTTTTTCATATCTATTGTTAAATGATGCGTCGCTCCGGTGTCGATAACCTAAGATTATGATACTTTAGGGCCGATTATTTAGATGAAAAGTTAGACTCATGTTTTGGAGAGTTAGAGATGGTGCGTAGTGACCAATGCCCCTACAATTAGAGCATTTAAGCCGGGTAAGCGTGCTATGGTTAGGAGCATGGGAGGAGGGATAGGAGCTAAGATAGGTGAACTATGGTCTCCTAAAGCTACCGCCTTCTCCTCTCGCCATAAGAGGGTGAAAGCCATGGCCGAAAAATTATATCGTTGGTGGCACTACAACAAAAGAGGTGCCATGTCGGGCCAGCTGCATTTCTTCGGTCATTAGCAAGGAAAAGAGATCATCATACATGATTGCTCGCGAGTCCGGCTTTAATGTTGCACACAAATGGGCGAGACACAAAAACGAGACCTTGTAGTATATAATTGATGAGATCATCGTCCGGGATAGGGTGTTACGGTGTAGTAAGGTGGTTGGATAACTCCTTAGCACGCAACATGTATATCTAAATGTCATCATTGTGCTAGGATATTTAAATCGGATTTGTGCGTAATTGACACACCTGCTGTTCTAAAACCGGAGGCATAGATGGTTGCAAGCTTATCCCAAGCCTCACGAGCAGTAGTTATTCGACCGGTTGTGTGACAAGGTTGGCGGATAGAGAGCCGACAATCCAGCTAAGAACAATCCGATCTTATGTATACTAGTCACTATAGCCAAATTCTGTTACAGCGAGGGTGGGAAGTCTACCATCAATGTGATGAGCAAGCTTGTACCCATGTAACGGTGGTAAGAGCTATGTCTTCCACAAAAGATAGTTGGTCGAAGTTAGTTTGATGGATAATTGGGGAGTGATGTTGGGGTAGAACATTATAACGGGTACAGTGCTACTATGTTTGATGTGGGATGACTGTTGTGTTGTGGTGGGTCGATGGCTGGATCGAAGGAGGTCCGGTCGAGGAGAAATGGGTGAAGGCTTTGTTATTTGGATTAAACTAGGTTTTTAAACCCTTTAAAGCTCGATACCATGAAAGAACGTTTATGATCAAAAGATAAATATTGTTCATTGAGTATTTGTATTTATAAGAGTTACGGTGACTAGAGTTTACAAATTACGGGGACTTTCATACTAAGGAGAATTCTAGTGATATTGTGCTTACATATATATCCGGGTAAAGGATATACCCAACGGTGGTGTATATCCTTTATCCTTATCAATTCTATTGGTACAATATCCTCATTTTCTCTTTTCATTTGTCATTTTTCATTCTTTGATCAAAATTTCATCATTCCCAACTCAACGTGAGTATATATATATATATACAGTTTTGATCAATGACCATATATGCAAATTTGTTTTTCAAAATTATGATATTTTCGAGCAACGGATGACTAATATATCATTCATTTTGAATTTACATGACAACTAATAATATTTTTCTTATGGAAGCGGTACTTGTTAATGGAAAAATTATGCAAGAATCCAAGGTTTGCCACCATTGATGATTTCTCATATTCGGGGCTTGATGTTCTCGAAAACACCTTAAATTAACGTAGAGCACATGTTAATCTCGATACGGCCGATCTAATGCTAGGACTTAACACTTTTGGCGTATCTTTGGCACGTATAGATTTTGAACCAAATGGCGGTTTAAACCCTCCACACTATCACCCTAAAGCATCGGAGGTTCTATTGGTTTTAGAGGGCACCCTTTATGCTGGTTTTGTCATGTCAAACCCCGATTGATCATCGCAAAGATTTTAAAAGCAGGAGATCTCATTGTGTTTCCATTTAGCCTCGTTCACTTTCAATTGAATGTCGAAAAAACTCCTTCAATTGTTATTGCGAGCATTAACAAGCGAAAATCCAGGAGTAAATTTGGTAGCAAATGCAATCTCCGGAGCCAATTGGCCTATTAATCCCGAAGTTCTCACCACGGCGTTCCACTTGGATAAAAAGCTGGAAAATTTTATAATACACAAAGAGTAACTAATGGCATGTACGGTAGTTACTCCTTGGACCCATTTTGAGGAGAGAGATAGAGACATAAAAAAATAGAGAAATTACATCAATACCTATCAAAAGTGATAAGAAGATTTTCACGTTCGCTCAAATTTTTTATTTTCTCTCTCCTATTTTTCTCTTTCTCTTTTTGTGTGTCTATCTCTCTCTTCAAAGTAGGCCCAATGAGTAACTACTATACATGCCACTAGTTACTTCTTGTGTATTATAAAATTTCTCTAAAAAACTTATGGAGGATCTTCAAACGCAAAACTAGGTGAACCTTTCATAAATACTAAATTTTTAATATTTTCAATAATAGTTGGTTTGTAACAATGAAGAAGCGCTCTATGTCTCTCTCTTTATGGTGCAATAAGTAATTTTTTATGAAAACTTTGAGGACCAAAAAACTTAAAAATAAAGGACTAATTTATAAAAAAAATGTTAATTTCAAGTACCAAAATAATCTTTTTCTCTAAATACGAGTAACTAAAATAAAATATTTTGATAAATTATTTTTAACGAGTATTTAATAGATGTTAGATGCGGGTAAACTGAACATGAGGATAATATTAGTTCAAACGGATATTAAATAGACGGATAAATTAGATATATATGAATTTAATAGATAATTTTTTAATAAATATGAACAAAATATTTTTTTTAATTGATTGAGTAAATGATTAAATTAATGGACAAAATACCCCATCTTTACCATTCGTAAACACACGACCATGTTCTTTCTTTTTTCTAATAGATCAAGCACAGGCTATTAGGCCAGTATATATAAATATACAGTGGTTGGGAATGAAGGCCTATTTTCACTAGTATATATGAACCTAATTGGAAAAACTTCTACGTCTGGAGGGACAGAATTTCCTATTTGTAGTAGAATTGTTGGCCACCGATGATGCATAGGATAAAGGATTAAATTAATGGGCTGAATATTCAATTTATTGTCATTTCTAATTGAAAAAAGACAATAATCAAGTTTTAAATAGATTTCGATGTTAAATAAAAAAAATAATAATATTTAAGAAGAGAAAGCTGTGAATATTTTTGAAAGCGAATAAGAAAATCCTTGATTTTTTAGGATGCAGAACATATAAAATTAAAAGGTGTAATTAAAACTTCCAACATTTTAGGACTAAAATATAAAATTTGTCAAAATGTTGGGGTGTCATAACCCCGTCAATATAGAAATACACGTAGTTCCGCGCCCGACTACAGAATTAGGGAACCAAATTAACCAATCACAAGCCTAGGGTTATCTATTAGTACATTTTTTATTATTATTTAACGTAAAAATGTGCGGAGCAAATTTTGGAATTTCATGAAATTGACTGTCCAATATACCCTGGAATAAACAAAACTACCAAAGAATTGGCGAGAATTACAAAATCTTTTATTATTTTCTTAGGAAAAAGTATCGGTTAAAAAATTGAGCCATTGCTCTGAAATTGAATCAAACCCTCTATTTCCATAACATTAGTCAAAGAATACCAAAACGAAGTTACAATTCCTTTTCTTTTCTTTTCTTTTCTTTTTTTGGTTAATTTTCACTAGGAAAATTTCCTTCTTTTATTGGTCAATGATGAACCAAAAACTCACCATTATCCTTCCTTCCTATATATACAAGTCATGATGCCAGAAAAAAGAGGAAAAAGAAAGCTACAATTCTATAGCACTTAAATTTTTTGGTCAATTTTATTGAGAAAGCAATTGAACTCTAGAAAGACAACTATCGTTTTCCTTTTCTTGTCTTTCCTTTTCTAGTAAAAAACTTGAGACAACAAAGACCTAATTATCAATCGCCACTAATACAAATTAAGGGAGATATGCAGAATATATATATAGAAAACAAATATAATCACTAGCCTATATTTCTTCAAACAAAAAAAATTAAAAAAGAATAAAAGAATTGAGTTATAAGAATTTTAAAATATAGAAACCAAATAATTAGCTTTTGAAATAAGAAGCATTAATTAATTTGTTCTCTAATTGGAAGAACTGATTTATAATTTACTTTTGGAGTCTTCTTCCACTATATATATAATAGTAATCAAATGAATTTGAGTCATTAAAATTTGAACTGAATTTACTAAAAATTTTTTTTTTTAACCCACATATCCAAAACTCATAAAGAAAAAAAACCACACACTAAGTTGCCCAGACACTTTCTGTGGATCGATACTTTCTAAATTATTATTTTTCTTATTTTAACCGTCAACCTTAATTGAGCTATAAAGAGTTTTTGATTGACACTTCTTATAACTATTCAATTGAATTTAATCCGTAAATATCTTATACAAATCATATTTTTTTAAAATATTAAAAAGTCATCAAAGAGTCATAAAACTGCAATAGAGTAATTTTTTAAAAGATAATTTATGGTACTATAATAGGTGATGATTTAATCATAATACAACGGAAGTTGATTTTATAATTTTTTTAGGCATTTTTTTTATATTTTTTGATAATTTTTATATTTTTTTTAAAATGTCCAATTCACATATTATTTAAGGTAAAAATAGATGACAAGTAATGAAAATAATTTCGGTCAAAATTTCCTATAGTTTAGAAGTTGAATCAGAAAAGAAAATTCAGAAAATGTCAATTAAAATGAACTAATGTTTAAGTGGTGTTTGTAGGAATTAGCCAAAAAAAAAAAAAACTCAATTATCTGAAAATACATCAAGTTCTGTATGCTGATTTAGCAAAATTAATCTTGCCCCTTGTACAGTTTGTATTCCAAAAAAAAGTCAACTTTTTATATGAAATTCATCTCTATTTTTCTTTGACTCCAAAACAAAAGCCGCCATGACAGCGTGCTCAATCATACATTTTAGGAGTAAATTATAAATTAGTCCCTCTTTTTTTAAGAATCCAATTTAGTTTTTATTATTTCAAAAACTACTCACTTAATCTCTTAATTAGTATTGATTATATTTAATTTAATATTAATTTATTTTTAAAAATGTAATTTTTTTCCATCGATTTTTCCATATTTTTCTACTTAATTTTTCTTTTTTCTATTTCTTAAAATAAAAATTGAAAAAATTAATTAATTAATTATGTTATAAAAAAATTTAAAAACGTAAAAATTAAATAATTTTTTTTTAAATAAAAAACTAATTAATTCGTTTCTCCAAACTAGGAGAACTGATTTATATATAATTTACTCTGCATTTTGGTAGGAATTGATTTCAATTGTTTTTTTTTATTATTAATATTTCTGCAATTCTAAACGGATTATCCATATAGCCTACAAGTATGCTACGAATAAGAAATATCTTTCGATAGCTCCTAGCAACACTCGCTTTCTAAGATGAACATGTCGCATGTAACTAACAAAAGAGTCACAGTATATATATATATAAATAAAAATTGCATCCATATAAATGATGAATAATATATAGGATCGATTTTATTTTTTTATTTTTCATCTGACGAAGTATGTATTAGTTCGTCACTTGTTATATAATAATTATTTATAATTTAAAATTCTTGGTTTCTTATTAGTTATTCCTAGATTTTACTAGTTTTTTTTTAAGGGAAAGTATATATTGAATTGAGGAAATTATAAATTAATTCTTTTTGTTTTAAAAACTAATAGCTTAGTCTTATACTACGAAATTTTTGCTAAATCTATCAAATTAATACATAATATCAAAAATACTTTTTAACATACATACCTATCTATGAATATATGTTTTGATACTTGAAAAAAAAATAAAGATATCTTTTGAGGAAGAAAAAATTTGGAAAAAAAAAAAGTGTAATGACATTTTATCACAACTTTATATAAAAAAAAAAACTAACGATAATATTAAATAATTGATGGAATTAAAACTTGAAGAATTAAACTATCAATTTTTAAAAACAAAAATTAAATTTTTTTTTCAAAACTAGAGGAGCTAATTTATAATTTACTCTATTGAATTTTATTCCTTGTTTCCATGGTTTACTTTCAATTGGTTTCTGAAATCTAGCTAGGATGCCTGCACATGCTATCGATAACGCTATTGAAGAAAAGCAGCAGCAATCTTTGTACTATTCTCTCGCGGACCACACCTCCTATCCATTCTACGATTGTCTATATATTAAGATACGCAGAGATATTAATTGGCACAAGTCGATCCTTATGTTGACAATCCCCAAAATGTGAAACTTATTCTGGAGAAGGCGCCATTAATTGTCACTAGTGAATATAAAAGATGGAATTAATAAAAAATAATGTAAATCATATTTAAGAGTTCATCTAACAATTTAAAAATCGTGAATTCACATTCTATTATTTTTATTTATTTTTATTTTTTAGTTAAAGTCTTACCTAATAACTTAAAATTTTAGGATTGTCTATATATTAAGATACGCAGAGATATTAATTGGCACAAGTCGATTCTTATGTTGACAATCCCCAAAATGTGAAACTTATTCTGCAGATGGCGCCAATAATTGTCACTAGTGAATATAAAAAATAATATAAATTATATTGAAGAGTTTATTTAATATTTTAAAGATCACGAGTTCATATTTTATTATTATTTTTTTATTTAAAATTTTATCTAATAGTTTAAGATTTTGAATAAAATAACTCTCTGAATGACATAGGTGAATGATAATAATAACAAAATAGAAAAAAATCAATTATTAAGAGCCATACTAATCAAGTGGCCAAAAACTCACGTATCTTGGTCCGGATTCTTCTTGTTGTTTCTCGAAAAAGGCAAGATAAGTATCAATGATTGACCTGATGGTTAAAAAAGCTTTTAATAGTGTGGATTTGGCATGTATTTGTTTATAATTTGGCTATTTTATTTCTTATTTTCAAACAACTAAGGGCCGTACTAATCAAGTGACCATCCCTGTTATAGTACTTCTGTATTTTTTCCTAAATCTATCATCTCGAGTATTAACCACTAAAGGGTGTCAAAAGTCCATGTATTTTTGGCAGACCATTTTTTCATATGACCAGAAAAATTATAATTAATGCTCTAGATATTTTTATTGATCATTACATAAAAGACTAGATACCGTAAAACTAAAATTAAAATTGAATTTCATCATATTTAACAACTAAAATAACAACAAAACACAAAAAATCATTAAAACAGTTTTTTTATTGGGACTACGTTTCATTTTCGTCTTGCTCTTAATATAGGAAGAAAAAGAAACTAAGTGACAATTAATGGTGCCCATGAAAAAGAACACTAGTTGAAGACCAAAAAGATCAAGATGCAAGTGGCAGTGACCAAGCGAATAACGAAGGAAAAATTAGCTAGGAAAAGGCACGGGCACCGACCATTGTGCCCAATAAACACAATTATTTATCGTTTTCGAAGGAAAAAGAAAAAAAAACTCAATTATTTGTGCTTGAAATGATAAAACTGGACGTAACTGTTCATCAACATTTTCCATGGAAAATCTAGCAGGTAAGTCCGTAAGTGTGATTTTGTCATCTTCACACATATATATAGATTAAAGATAACAGAAGCAATGTTGCTTGTGAAAAAAGAAAAGAAAAACACAGATAGCGCCTATGTAGTTGTCAACATTAACAGCCATTTAAAAAGATATTAAAATCGTGAATTTGAAGAATGCAAGAGCAGGATGAAGGTTACAAGATGAAAACGTTCTCCCCCAGCGTATAAGAATTGAAAAATCTAGAAGTTCTTGATAGTTAGCTAACTAAGAACAGATTTCTTCTTAATCCACGTCATTGTTTTTTGTCTGGTAAATAGGCGTTAAAGTACTTGTAGAGAGTCTTTTTCGCCTCAAATTTAGTCATAATTGGGCTCCTGGCTGTTTCTTATTATTACCACAACGTACGTTCTCCTTGCTATCACTATTACTTAAGCATCGTGGGTCTCCTTGGTTGATCGAAAGTATTAATTATCGTGTCAAATTTGATGTTTGCTTGGTCAGGAATTATGTTGAAAAACAATGCTTAAACGAAGAATAACTCATCTATAAATACCCGTGTTTTGCATGCAAATTCTCACACCTCACCCAGAAAACAAAAAAAAACAAAAAAAAACAATTCAAGGTAGCAAGTGGAAAATAAAAAGCACAATGAAAGTTGCTAATTTGCTAGTAGCTTTTGCTCTCTTGGCTCTGGCTTCCTCATTTGTCACTGCCTATGACCCCAGCCCCCTCCAAGACTTTTGTGTAGGAATAAATGATGCTGATGCTGCTGGTACATCCTCATGTTCCTCTTTTCATTTGTCATTTTTCAATCTTCGATCGAAATTTCATCATCCTGACTCAACATGATCGGTCTATATATACAGTTTTGAAGAAGGACCATACATGCGATTTTTTTATCCCAAAAATAATTATATTTAAAAGTATAGAGTTAGATAGTTAATATTGAGATATGTGTTTTATGTTAATCATTATTGGTTTAGTTATTCAATATAGGATATGTATTCTAACACTCTCCTTCACTTGCAGTCCATCTTTTGGGATCTATCAAGTGGTTTGGACTCCAAGATCTTTGTTGGACCATCTTTTAAAGTCTATCAAGTGGTTTAGGCTTCAGGATCTTTCGTTGGTACATTGAGCCTTTTGAGGCTCGATACCATATAAAGTTAGATAATTAAAATTGAATTTCATCCAAAAGACTCAAACCATATGATGGGTGGTCTCTTCTTAAGTATCTTATACGTTAATCATTATTGATTTAATTATTCAACGTGAAATATATGTTCTAACAAAAAGCAACAGTCTATATATCATTCGCTTTGAATTTGCATGACAACTAATTAATAACATTTTTCTTGTGGATGCAGTGCTTGTTAATGGAAAATTATGCAAGAATCCAAGCTTTGCCACCATTGATGATTTCACGTACTCGGGGTTTGATATTCGTGGAAACACCTCAAATCAACTTAGAGCACATGTTAATCTCATTACGGCTGATCTAATGCCAGGGCTTAACACTCTTGGCATATCTTTGGCACGTATAGATTTTGAACCAAATGGTGGTCTAAACCCTCCACACTATCACCCTAGAGGATCAGAGGTTCTCTTGGTTTTGGAGGGCACTCTTTATGCTGGTTTTGTCACATCAAACCCTGATCATCGCCTCTTCGCCAAGATTTTAAAAGCAGGAGACTTCATTGCGTTTCCATTTGGCCTTGTTCACTTTCAACTGAATGTCGAAAAAACTCCAGCAGTTGCTATTGCTGCATTAACAAGCCAAAATCCAGGAGTAAATACGGTAGCAAATGCAATCTTTGGAGCCAACAGGCCTATTAATCCTGAAGTTCTCACTACAGCATTCCACTTGGATAAAAACGTTGTGAAGGATCTTCAGACTCAAAACTGGGTGAACCCTTCATAAATACTAAATTTCTCATATTTTTAATATATAGTTGATATGTAACAATAGAGAAGTGCTCTATGCCTCTATTTATAGTGCAATAAGTAATTTATTCCATATATGTAATTGTGGTGCAATAAGTAAGTGGTTGTATACCTTCTTTATGTGTTGAATTGTGTACGTTTAATTCTACCGACCTGCTTCGTTAAGATAATCAAAGGATCCTTTCCCTCTGTCATGCATGTGTGATGGGTTTTAGCTCTTCAGGAAAATTATGTAAAATATATATATATAGCTGGACTTGATTGAGACTATTAAACTTAAAAAAGAGATATCGGTAACTAGGTATCCTAAAAAATATAATAGTTTTTTTTTCTTTTTTATGAAAATATAAAATGGAGAATAAGTTACTCACTAGAAAATTAAAGTGTTTTAAACAAAAATCAATTTCAACTATTTAATTTAATATAGCACCAAAAGCTCAAACAAAACAAATTTATTGATTCAAGTAAAAACTAGTTGGATACTAGCGTTACGTCGCGGGTAGACAATCGTTATATACATAGGGTTAACGATTCGTATAGTGTAATGCAAGTAGAATATTTTATTTTTTGTGATTAATATAAATCGAATCTATATATAGTTAATTTGTAACAAAACTAATGATATATATATATATATAACAAATTCAAAGGATATAGAATAAATATAAATAAAAAAAACACTTAAATTGTAGAAATATATTGAAGTCAATAGATTAACATAAAAATTATAACAAAATTGGTTCTGATAAATTTTGAATAAATACACATAAAAAAAGCAAATAAAACTTGTGAATTTTTTGAACTCATTATTATTTAAAAAAAAATTGAGTCAAATTATCTAAAACATACTTTTATATATATATCTCTCTCTCTCTCTCTCTCTCTCTCTCTCTCTCTCTCTCTCTCTCTCTCTCTCTATATATATATATATATATATATATATATATAAGTAAAACACTCATTTAAAATCTGAAAAAAAATTATTGTATAAATTATAATAATATATTTTTAAAAAATAAAACATTGACGTTCTAAAATTTTATTCCAAAATTCATATATTAAAAAAATCAAATTTATTAACAAATAAAATTATATCAAAAAATTAAAAAAAATTAATTTAATGAGAATTTTAATAAGAAAAAAATAATTGAAGAAATAAATTTTAAACAATAAAAATAAAATAATCGGATATATATGTTAACGGTAATGTCAAAGATATAATCAATATTGATTAAGGGACATTAAAGGGACCAATAGTATATATGTTTTCTTTCTTACCGAAGGGACCAATTATATGTGACGACTTAACTTGTACAACACTTGCTAGAGATCTAGTTATGCTATGACAATCTATATATTCTTTTAAAGGTTTCCTTTTACTTATTAGTGATCCAATCCCAAAACACATTAAAATTTAAAATAATTAGCTAACTTTTTTTTTCTATCATGAGATTGATGGTCGGACTTTTAAAAATATAAAATAAATTATAAAAAGAAAAAAAGAGCAAGGTCGCGTCCGGTTGGTGTGTGTGTGTATCGTATATAGCAAACTTGGAGTATACGAATTAAATAAATAAAAACCGGCTTAAATTATATGGAATATGTCGAAGTGAATAGATTTAAATAAAAACTATTATAAATTTGGTTTCGATAAATTCTAATTAAAACTGTAAATTTTTTAACTAATTATTATTTTTTTGAAAAAAAATGTCAAATTACTTTTTTAACTGATTATTATTTTAAAAAAGATGAAATCAAATTATTTAAAACACACTTTTAGCTTTTTCTCTTTTTATTAGAATTAATATAAGTAACAACGTCATTTTCATATAAAAATTATAAAAATAATCGATCATATAAATTATAATAATATATCTTAAAAAATAAAACATGTTCTAAAATTTTATTTCAAAAATCATATATAAAGAAAAACAAATTTATTAACAAATTGAAAAAAAAAAAGACAAATTAAATCTCAATAGCTCAACCCATTAAAAAGAAAAAAAAATGCCAGTTGAGGAAAAAAAATTAAAAAAGCTACAATAATGGGACTGCGAAGGATACCTAAACAATGAGATTGACCACTTCAGCATCCCATGCTTTTAAGAAAAAGAAAAAAAAAAAAAGCGGGAAAAAAAATGGGGGTGGGGGGACTGTAGTATGAACAGTCACCCCAGTTGTTTTAGTTTTTTTTTTTATAATTATAATTCTTAGATGGGTTTAATCTGCATTTCCTTGTTCGTAGCTTAGGTTTGTTCTTCAATCCTAATTTTTTTACTCATATTTACCTATATGTTATATTATTACCTCCTATTTATATTTAGTGGGCAAATTCAAGGAAACCAAATGAAATATCTCTGGTCTTTCCAAGGATGGTAGGAATTGAGGGAACATAGCTACAGGAATTCAGATCCGAGCACCACAAAGAGATCATTACTTTTTCTCATATATCACTTTCTACCGCCATTTTGATCGTTGTCTTCCTCTTTATTTTATAAGCACTGCTAAGGGAAATTTTTAGGATAACCATTCAACTCCTTAATTTTCACGTCACTTTGCTTTTTCTTTGTAATGAAACTAGGATGCATTGAAATATTTCAATACCTTTCTAAAATTGTGTATATTTTTATTTTATTTTTTTCTTAATTTACGAAGGCATGCTTTCCAATCTACTGTAATATCATCATTGAATTTTTTTTTCAATTTTTCAGTATTTACAGGACAAAATATTAATGGGCTTTAATTAAACTTCATATATCAGACTTTGAAAAGTAAAAATTTATTGAATGACTTGATGACAATTTTCTCCTTTTCCTTAGAGTAGATTATTAAAAATTTTCTAACTTAGTATTTTAGTTGCTGGAAATTTTTTTGATGTCACATGTGATGCGAGAGGTCGATCTAGTCAATGATGGCTAGCAAGTCGAATCAGCTTTGATTTTTGTAGCAGTGCAACGGCTGCGCCTCATGATATGGTTCTGCTTTGCATAACAGTGGTACATCGATGAAGAATTAGGCCTATATTCATTCCCTGCACTGTATCTATTTGG